GAGATGAGTGCCACAACCCCAGAGTCGGCCACGACTGGACCTAATGGTCAGGGGTCCCTTTACCTTTTTATACATGATTAACATAGGAGGAATGTGTTGGGGCAACAGGCGGGATACAGGATATGTATTGGGAAGTACGGTACATTCTAAGCACCTACTACAAAGGGACAATAGAACTTTGGTTTGCATAGTCTGCCACCTGGGCAAGTCCGGAGGAGTGCCTTTGCCCAGTGATTGACACCTATGAGTACCTTCCTGTGAGTAGGTGATGGGGACCAAGAGGTTTCCAAGTCCTTGGCCAATGAAGCAAATTGGCGGTGGAATGAAGGAAACTGGCAAAGGAGTTCATTTTATATGATTTTTAAAGCTAGGTAACTTCCCTGAGCTGTCAAGTTAAAAGGATACCTTTATGCATAATATTTGTAACATTTAACAACTTTAAAGATGTGCCCCCTCCCCATAATTTTTGTAACATAACAAATTCATAATAACAACAATGAATTTATTACCTGCACATCACCCTGAGACCCCGGAGCGGGCGACAACATTAAAACATCCCAGGGGGCTGGACTAGATGGCCGTTTGGTCCCTTTCCAACGCTGCCATTCTGTGATTCTATACATTAAATAGCTGAGATAAGGAAGAGTATCCTTACTGTCCCCCATATAGCCACCTCCGTCACGGTCTCCCTTATTTACGATTTTTCTGAACAGAAAGGCTCCTGCTGTCTCACCCAGTTGAAATAAAAAATTAAGGTCTTATGTATATAATAAATGTTCATAAGTGTACCAAGCAAAGACGTACGTAAATATATAAACCACATGTCTGGGGCAGCGCAGGGGAGTGGCCATGAAGCCATTTTGACTCCCAAGCTGAACAAACGTTTTCTCTGCAAAGTCAAATGGAAAAGCCTGCCCACTGTCTTTTCCTTCACAATCCTGTCTTAAGGGTATGTCTGTGTTTGAATAGGGTGAGCCTGTGACCTGGCTCAGGAACTAAGTATTTGTCATTACAAAAGACTGGCCAGGCACCCCAGGGTATCCAATCAAGTGAGCATTAACAGGTAATCTGCCAGACAGGAGATAAACAAAGCACTCAGATTTCTGTTGTAGACCGCCTCTTCTGTGATGTATGTATGATGTTTCTGGGGGTGGTCTTGGACTCCAGGGTGGGCAATTTAAATGTCTATATAAGGGCGGGCACACCTTGGTTCTGGGTCCTCCTCCTTTCCTACGTGTGAAGGGGGCACCCTGTTGCAACAGTTCAATAAAGATCAGGCTTACTAGCTGCTTTGCTTCTCAATATTCTCGGGTTGGCCTCTGTTCTTTTCTCCGACCGATGGAGAACCTACAAAGGACTCTGTAAGGGCTCTTGTGTCCCCCATAAGCGAATAAGGGCAGATTTTCATTTATTTCAGAGTCCAGGGCATCTGAGCATGTTCTGAGAGCTGGTCCCTCGCGGCCTAGCCACTCCGGTCCCCAGCCCCGATCCTGCGCCAGCCCGTCTCCTTTCACGGAGAAAAGCCTTCTTGAGTGGTCCAGGGGAGATCCGGGCTCCCCCCTGGTGTGTAATATTCCGCCCCGCCTAATGAACAAGGACTCCCGGCTGGAAGAGGCAGCCCACGACTCTCGCCGGTAGCTCGGAACGCCACGTCCTGGATGATTTGTCACCATTATCCCTCGGCGCTCGTTCTCTCTCCCTGGCTGCCGCGTGGGCCGTCAGCACCTTCTGGGGCTAAGGGGAGCTGACAGGCCTGTTATTGGGTTCACGGCAATGCCGTACTCCCTTAGAACTGCGCAGAAGGAAGTCTTGACTCTCCCGGAGATGGGCAATGCTCGCTATGCCTCTGGGAGCAGTCGAAGTTTCTCGCTTGGCAGCCCAGGTTGGGAAACGGAGGCCTAGGAATCCGTGCAGGACGGCCTTCACCAAGCCGGAGCCCCCCAGATGTTTAATAATAATAATAAGAATAATTTATTATTTATACCCCGCCCATATGGCTGAGTTTCCCCAGACACTCTGGGCGGCTCCCGATCAAGTATTAAAAACAATACAGCGTTAAATATTAAAAACTTCCCTGAACAGGGCTGCCTTCAGTTGTCTTTTAAAGATAGGAAATCTGCTTATTTCCTTCACATCTGAAGGACAGGACTGAGGCCATTTAGGGCTTGAAAGGTCAGCACCAACACTTTGAATTGTGCTCGGAAACGTACTGGGAACCAATGCAGATCTCTCAGGACCGGTGTTATGTGGTCCTGGTGGCCACTCCCAGTCACCAGTCCAGCTGCCGCATTCTGGATTAATTGCAGTTTCCGGGTCAGCTTCAAAGGGACCCCCATGTAGAGCACATTGCAGTAGTCCAAGCGGGAGATAACTAGAGCATGCACCACTCTGGCGAGACAGTCTGCGGGCAGGGAGGGTCTCATCCTGCATACCAGATGGAGCTGGTAAACAACTGCCCTGGACACGGATTTGACCTGCACCTCCATGGACAGCTGTGAGTCCAAAATGACTCCCAGGCTGCGCACCTGGTCCTTCAGGGACACAGTTGCCCCATTCAGGACCAGGGAGTCCTCCACACCCGCCCACCCCCTGTCCCCCCAAAACAGTACTGATGTCTTGTCAGGATTCAACCTCAATCTGTTAGCTGCCATCCATCCCAGTTTGGGACTCCCACTCCCACCAGCCCCTGGGCAGCAGGGAAGCCTGAGTCTTCCGTTCTGGTTCGAATTGGAGTGTTGCTACCAGTCAGTGCCTGCTGAGCTGGATGATCCAATGTTCCGGCTCTGAATAAGGCAGCCTCCCCTGTCTCTGCTATTCAGAACCTTATTCAGAACCATCTTTAGCGTTAGATGGTGGTTTGTAGTACAGCGGTGCGGGAATGTTGAGAAAAGACGGAGAGGAAATATTGATTAAATGTTATCCCTCTGCACTCACGCCAGTGAGCAAGTAGCAGAGTACATTCCCTTACACATTTCTGGAAACAAGTTGATGGATTCCTTAGAACATGGATAGGCAAACTAAGGCCCGGGGGCCGGATCTGGCCCAATCGCCTTCTCAATCCAACCTGCGGATGGTCCGGGAATCAGCGTGTTTTTACATGAGTAGAATGTGTCCTTTTCTTTAAAATGCATCTCTGGGTTATTTATGGGGCATAGGAATTCATTCATTATTCCCCCCAAAAAAATATAGTCCGGCCCCCCACAAGGTCTGAGGGACAGTGGGCCGGCCCCCTGCTGAAAAAGTTTGCTGACTCCTGCCTTAGAATCATTTAAGTTGAGCAATCTAGTCTGGATTGTTCCTGGTAAGTTTCCCCTTTTATTTCCCTCTTAAAATAATAAAAACACGACAGTCTTGTTTAAAAGTAAGAGTAAAGTTTACTTGCGTTCAGTTCACTGTAGTTTTCTGAAGGCAGGCTTTGTCTTGCGGTTATAGTTACATTTGCAGGGAAAAAGAATTCTGAGTTAGGCCTCCGACTTTCTACCTTGTGGCTTCCGTCCTCTGTAAGGATGAGCCGTGTGCTGCTGGCTAAGAGCCAGCAGAGAGGAAGATGGCAAAAAAAGTCAAAGATGTGGGAATGTTCAGGGATGCAGGAGAGGATATATTGTTTGATTATAGCCTTTCTAACTTGTGTTAACAAGTTCACAATTTTAGCAGAGTAACATTCCCCTTTTTAAACTTGCAGTGGATGCGTTTGCTCAGGCTCGCTAAAGCCTCTAGAATAACTGTTCTGATATTTTCCCCTTATTCCCTCATAAAAGATAAGACACGACACAGTCTTCTATAAAAGTATAAAAAGAGTTTACTCACATTCTGTTCACAATTGGATCCCAGAAGGCAGACTTTGCTTAGAAAAGTAACACACACCTGGAAACTATCTCATAACTATCTCCTTTTGTCCTCTCTTGCCAAGAGAGCATCTTTGGCTAAGCAGATGTTGCTTCTTCGATGCATGTAGTCAAAGAGAGAGAGATGGCTGCCCTGCCCTGTGCTTTTGTTGTTACCTGCACAGGTGAGGCCACGCCCACCTCTAGTCACATGCAGAGGAAGTCTGTCCCAGCTCAGAAGGAAACAAGAAGTTGACCTGCTGGCTGGACAAACATTCCTCCCCACGTGTAAACTCTAGGAAGGTTGTACTTGGCTGCTCTTGGGTTTCACATCCCACATTCAGAACCTTATTCAGAACCATCTTTAGCGTTAGGTGATGGTATGTAGTACAGCGGTGCGGGAATGTTGAGGAGAGTTGGAGAGGAAATATTGATTAAATGTTATCCCTCTGCACTCACGCCAGTGAGCAAGTAGCAGAGCACATTCTCTTGCACATTTCTGGAAACAAGTTGATGGATTCCTTAGAATCATTTAAGCTGAGCAATCTAATCTGGATTGTTCCTGATAAGTTTCCCCTTTTATTTCCCTCTTGAAATAATAATAACATGACAGTCTTGTTTAAAAGTGAGAGTAACGTTTACAGTGAGAGTTCAGTTCACAGTAGTTTTCTGAAGGCAGGCTTTATCTTGCGGTTACAGTTACATTTGTAGAGAAAAGAATTCTGAGTTAGGCCTCCGACTTTCTACCTTGTGGCCTCCATCCTCTGTGAGGATGTGCCATGTGCTTGCTAAGAGCCAGCAGAGAGGAAGATGGCAAAAAAAAGAGAAAAAAGCCAAAGAGCCAAAAGAGGAAGATGGCTGCATGAGTGGCCCTTTTATAGGGTCTGCTAGGGTCATGCCCATCTACCTGGTCACACAAGGGAAGGATGTTCTGTCTGGAGCCACATTCCCCTGTGCGTCCACTCTAGGCAACAGGAAATGTTGGTATTTGACTGCTTCAGTGATGATACATCCCACATTTGTGGAGAAGTCTGAGTTTTCCGTTCTGGTTCATATCTGTAAGTTGCTTCCAGTCAGTGTTGAGCTGGGTGGGCCAATGTTCTGACTCTGAATAAAGCAGCCTCCCCTGCCTCTACTATTCAGAACCTTATTCAGAACCATCTTTAGCGTGAGGCAGAGGTTTCTAGCTCAGTGGTAGGGTACCTGCCTGGCATGGAGAAAGTCCCTGGTTCAACCCCTCAACATCTCCAGGGGACCAAGACCACTGCCTGAAATCTTGGAGTGTGGTTTTCCATCAGTATATTGAATCCTCAACTAGAATATAAGATGGGGGGACACCTGGCTTACTAGCCATACATGTGAAAAGGTTCTAGGGGTCTTGGTGGACCACAAGATTAACATGCGTCAACAGTGTGATGCAGCAGCAAAAAAGGCTAATGCTATTCTAGGCTGCATCAAGTGAATTATAGTGTCCAGATCAAGGGAAGTCATTGTTGTTGTTGTTTAGTAGTTTAGTCGTGTCCGCCTCTTCGTGACCCCCTGGACCAGCGCACGCCAGGCACTCCTGTCTTCCACTGCCTCCCACAGTTTGGTCAGACTCATGCTGGTAGCTTCGAGAACACTGTCCCACCATCTCGTCCTCTGTCGTCCCCTTCTCCTTGTGCCCTCCATCTTTCCCAGCATCAGGGTCTTTTCCAGGGAGTCTTCTCTTCTCCTGAGGTGGCCAAAGTCTTGGAGCCTCAGCTTCAGGATCTGTCCTTCCAGTGAGCACTCAGGGCTGATTTCCTTCACAATGGAGAGGTTGGATCTTCTTGCAGTCCGTGGGACTCTCCAGAGTCTCCTCCAGCACCAGAATTCAAAAGCATCCATTCTTCAGCGATCAGCCTTCTTTATGGTCCAGCTCTCACTTCCATACATCACTACTGGGAAAACCATAGCTTGAACTATACGGACCTTTGTCAGCAAGGCTTTTTAAGATGCTGTCTAGGTTTGTCATTGCTTTCCTCCCAAGAGGCAGGTGTCTTTTAATTTCTGCTGTCACCATCAGTCATAGTCCCACTCTCTTCTGCCTTGGTCAGACCCCACCTGCAATACTGTGTCCAGTTCTGGGCACCACAATTTAAGAAGGAGATTGACAAGATGGAAGGTGTGCAGGGGAGGGCAACCAAGATGATGAAGGGTATGGAGACGAAGCCTTATGAGGAACGGTTGAAGGAGGCTGGCTAGGTTTTGCCTGGAAAAGAGGAGACTGAAAGGAGATATGATGGCCATCTTCAAATATCCCAAGGGCTGTCACAGGGAGGATGGAGCAAGCTTGTTTTCTCTTGCTCTGGAAGCTAGGACTCGAACCCATGGCTTCAATTACAAGAAAGGAAATTCAACATCAGAGAGAAATTTCTCTTGGTAGGAGCTGCTTGACAGTGGAACAAACTCCCTCAGACGGCTGTGGACTCTCCTTCCTCAGAGATTTTTTTTGCAGAGGTTGGATGGATGCTTCAGCTGAGATTCCTGCACTGCAGGGGGCTGGACTGGATGATTCTTGGGGTCCCTTCCAACTCTGCAATTCCATGGTTCTATGAGAACGACTGATGGTTTGTTCGTTATTCGTTTATTCAGACCCATGAGGACTGGATCCTTGACTCGGCAGCACAGTGCCCATGCTTTGCAAGCGCAAAGGCCCAGCTTTAGTCTCCAGCACCATCTCCAGCTCAGGCTGGGAGCTTCTCCTGACCCCACACCTGCAGAGTGGTAATTGTAGACTTTACTGAGCTTGATGCACCAACAGTCTGTCTCAGCATGGTGCACCTTGCTGGAGAGCGGCTGCCGGCCAGTGTTGACAGCTCTGAGCTCAATGCACTGATGCTGTGTCTTGGCACGAGGCACCTTCCTGGAGAGCTGGCCAGTGTTGATAGCATTGATCTTGAGGCACCCTTTATTTTATTTTTTTGGCATAGGACCCCGCCCTGGAGAGCGGCTGCCGGCCAGTGTCGACAGTACTGATCTCAATGCACTGATGGCACGAGGCACTTTCAAGGAGAGCTGGCCACTGTTGATAGCATTGATCTTGAGGCACCCTTTATTATTACTTTTTGGCATAGGACCCCGCCCTGGAGAGCGGCTGCCGGCCAGTGTCGACAGTACTGAGCTCGCTGCACCAGCATAGGTTGCCCGGTTCCTTGCAACAAGCAACACACCTCCATCCTTTGACGCTTCCGCTGGGCTGCCTTGCTCTTTTGCCTCCCTCTTCTCTGCCAGAACATCCTCTGCAAGCACCTGGCCACGCGGGACGGTCCGCACGGAGCTCAGCGCCTCTCCTCCGGCAAGAGCGGGCGGTATATATATATATATCAGGAAACCCGGGACCGTTGCGCAGAGCCGGTGCGCCCTCCCTCCCGCCTGCCCGGGTCCCCCCTCTCCTCTCCGCCTCCCTCCCCGCCTCCGACTCTGTCTGCGAGCTCCATCTAGACTTCATCTATCATGTTTATGTGGAAGGGAAGAGATTAGCTCTCTCGACCAATTTCCCGCCTCGCACTCCTCCGTCTTGGGGGCCTCCAGAGGCGGGAGCAGATGGCAGAGTTTGCGCGCCGATCTCTCCAGCCAGAGCCACTAATGGGCTTCCCAGCCTCAAGCGCGTCAGGAGCGCACGTCAGGCGACTCTTGCGAGAGACGCCGAGGATGAAGACGACTCCACTCCTGGGATCGCGGTGCCAGGAAACTGGGGGGGGGGGGGCGGCTGGTGCTCTATTCCTGCCCTGAAAGAAGATGCTTCTTTATAGCTCTCCATCCTGCCCTCTCTGTTATTGTTGTTGCTGTTGCTGTTGTTGTTTTTTAGTGGTGTCCGCCTCTTCTTGACCCGATGGACCAGAGCACGCCAGGCCCTCCCGTCTTCCACTGCCTCCCGCAGTTTGGTCAGACTCATGCTGGTAGCTTCGAGAACACTGTCCCACCATCTGGTCCTCTGTCGTCCCCTTCTCCTTGTGCCCTCCATCTTTCCCAACATCAGGGTCTTTTCCAGGGAGTCTTCTCTTCTCCTGAGGTGGCCAAAGTCTTGGAGCCTCAGCTTCAGGATCTGTCCTTCCAGGCATCATATTATTATTATTATTATTACAGTGGTACCTCGGGTTACAGACGCTTCAGGTTACAGACGCTTCAGGTTACAGACTCCGCTAACCCAGAAATAGTACCTCAGGTTAAGAACTTTGCTTCAGGATGAGAACAGAAATCGTGCTCCAGTGGTGTAGCAGCAGCAGGAGGCCCCATTAGCTAAAGTGGTGCTTCAGGTTAAGAACAGTTTCAGGTTTAGAATAGACTTCCGGAATGAATTAAGTACTTAACCCAAGGTAAAGGTAAAGGGACCCCTGACTGTTAGTTCAGTCGCAGATGACTCTGGGGTTGCGGCGCTCATCTCGCTTTACTCGCTGAGGGAGCTGGTGTACAGCTTCTGGGTCATGTGGCCAGCATGACTAAGCCACTTCTGGCGAACCAGAGCAGCACATGGAAACGCCGTTTACCTTCCCACCAGAGCGGTACCTATTTATCTACTTGCACTTTGACGTGCTTTTGAACTGCTAGATTGGCAGGAGCTGGGACGAAGCCATGGGAGCTCACCCTGTCGCAGGGATTTGAACTGCCGACCTTCTGATCAGCAAGCCCTAGGCTCTGTAGTTTAACCCACAGCGCATCCGCGTCCCTTAAACCGAGGTACCACTGTATTATTATAAAAAATAATAATTAAATTTTATTTATATCCCGCCCTCCCCAGCCGAAGCTGGGCTCAGAGTGGCTAACAACAGTAAAAGTAACACAGCATTCTAAAATCAATTCATTCTAAAATCAATTCAAAATCAAATTAATGGCAACCATTGGGCTAGAGTTCTGTGTGGGTGACCAAAGGAGGGGGTCAGACTGTGCCTTGGCCAAAGGCCTGGTGGAACAGCTCCGTCTTGCAGGTCCTGCGGAAAGATGTCAAGTCCCGCAGGGCCCTAGTCTCTGGTGACAGAGCGTTCCACCAAGTCGGGGCCAGTGCTGAAAAGGCCCTGGCTCTGGTTGAGGCCAGCCTAACCTTGCTGTAGGGATGCGGGTGGCTCTGTGGGTAAAACCTCAGCGCCTAGGGCTTGCCGATCGCATGGTCGGCGGTTCGAATCCCCATGGCTGGGTGAGCTCCCGTCTTTCGGTCCCAGCTCCTGCCCACCTAGCAGTTCGAAAGCACCCCTAAGTGCAAGTAGATAAATAAAGGTAAAGGTACCCCTGCCCGTACGGGCCAGTCTTGCCAGACTCTAGGGTTGTGCACTCATCTCGCTCTATAGGCCGGGAGCCAGCGCTCTCCGCAGACACTTCCGGGTCACGTGGCCAGCATGACGAAGCTGCTCTGGCAAGCCAGCGCAGCACACGGAACGCCGTTTACCTTCCCGCTGGTAAGCGGTCCCTATTTTTCTACTTGCACCCGGGGGTGCTTTCGAACTGCTAGGTTGGCAGGCGCTGGGACCGAACGATGGGAGCGCACCCCACCGCGGGGATTCGAACCGCCGACCATGCGATCGGCAAGTCCTAGGCGCTGAGGTTTTACCCACAGCGCCACCCACGTCCCATAAGTAGATAAGTAGGTACCGCTTTATAGCGGGAAGGTAAACGGTGTTTCTGTGTGCTGCGCTGGTGCCGGCTCGCCAGAGAAGTTTCGTCACGCTGGCCACGCGACCTTGAAGTGTCTCCGGACAGCGCTGGCCCCCGGCCTCTTAAGTGAGATGGGCGCACAACCCTAGAGTCGGACACGACTGGCCCGTACGGGCAGGGGTACCTTTACCTTTAACCTCCCTGTGGCCTGGGGTCTCCAAGATGTTTTTGTTTGAAGACCATAAGGTCCTCCGTGGGGCATACCAGGAGAGGCGGTCCCGTAGGTACAATAATATTATTATTATTATTGAAAAAGAGGTGCTGGGTCTCACCATGAACACCACCAACAACTACAACAATAACAATTTATTATTTATACCCTGCCCACCTGGCTGGGTTTCCCCAGACACTCTGGGTGGCTCCCAACAGAATATTAAAAACACGACAAAACATCAAACATCAAAAACTGCCCTTGTTCTCTTTGAATGGCAGTGGCAAGGGCATCCAGCTGATCTGCGTTCCGGAGAGTTCCGGCTGGGGAAAAAAAAGCCCTGATCTTTATTATTACTATTAGAATTTGTATACTGCCCTTCACCTGCAAATCTTAGGGCTGTCCACAACATAAAAACACAAGGTAAAAAACACAAAGCACAT